CTTGCTCAGGCTGGTTTCGAACTCCTGAGCTCAAACAATCCGCCCGCCTCGGCCTCCCAGAGTGCTAGGATTACAGGCGTGAGCCACCACGCCCGGCCGACATACTTTTTTATCAAAGAAATCCCACAAAATGAAACTGTGCATGCACTAACTGAAGAAATGCTTTCCAAATACTGAAAGCATTGAGTATTGAAAACTTTCTGAATATGGAAAGCAGACTTAAGATTATTGTTTTTGCTTATATTTTCACTAATATATTTATACATACTTAAGCCATCGAACAGAAATTATGGTAATGATGTAATATAACTGGCTTGTCATATAAAATTCTCTCTGATTTTCCATCTGCATCTAGCTTTTACTATTTGCATACCAATTTCAGGACCTTCCCTAGAGTTGAATTAATAGTGAGACTTTTACAGAAGATTCTATGTACCATAGAAGACTTATAACCTTGAAGGAAATAAATTTACTTATCCAACAAGTAAACAACATTAGCAAATGGACCGCTTTCTCTGTAAGCAACCAATACTTGTTAGAAATTCTGCACTGCTGATATCAACGTCTATAAAGCATAGTACTATACCTTTCTTTTGTCCAAGTAATCTTTTAAATATATAATAGTTCCTACTATATTGTTTGAATATCTTGTATAAATACATGACCAGGCAGTTCTAAAGTATCTTGAATATAGTTTTTCTTTGGCTAAAGAAAATTTTCATTAAAAGTTACATCGTGAGTACTTGACAATGTTTGAAAGTGAGTATATGGATATTAATAACATGCTTTGTTCATATTACTGATGTTGTTACTCCAACAAGATACGACGGTAAGCCACACAATGCCATGGTCACTGATCACACATGGGTTTCAGGCATGGTAAATGTTACTGAAGTAAACATTCAACAATTCAGTGTTCCAAAGGCTGAAGCCATACAATAGATTTTGAATACTAAAGCAAAGCTGAACTTCAACGCATCCTTAGAAAAATTTAAATTCTAGTCTCAAAGGTTTTCAATAACATTATTTCTTCTTCCTCCCAAAGACTATACGGACAAATCTAAGGGGAATAGAATATCAATCAGAATGCTATTTACACTCTACCCTTTTATATATGGATGTAAGATCAAGGGCTTAAAAATGTGCCTTTAAACAAAAAGTAACTAATGAAAAGTTGAGTAGCGTTTTAGAACTTAAAAAAAAAAGAGGCTCTCAGTGCAAAAGGCATTAAAAATCTAGTTCAAAAAGTTTAGCAAGTGACAGTCAACATAACATGAAATTTGTGATAGAATATACCTTAACAGAGAATGATACAGAAGCAAAGTATCACCAAAAAGAAACAGAAGAAAGTGATTCAAAAGAAAAACTGAAGAAAAGTCAAAGGCAAGTTGAATTTTTGTTGTTGTTTTTGTTTTTAGCAGATATTAACTGAGATTGTTTGGGAAGCAGAACTTTTATTTGTATATTTAATGCCATTTTAATTGTTTTTCCATAATTCCCTATTTCCAGAGAAACCTTGATCTTACCAACTTTTGGCACATATTATATATTTTATACTTATTTACCCCCTTTAGTGGCAAGAAATTCTTTTACCA